AGAGTGTTTGTTTTTGTGGCCGCAGAGTGAAGGCATCATCTGTGTGTGTCTTGTAGTGGTGGTGCCGCGTGCGCCGTTTATTTTGTATTGTTTTTATTTATTTGGTGTTTTGTTTTAAATATTACCCCCCACTCCTGCTGCAGTGTGCTGAGGGAAGTGGGGGGCGTTGGGGATTTTGTGGGGGTCGTGATGGGAGGTCTTGCCGGCATGCGCACTGCTTGTTGGCGCTGGCGGGGTTTGAAGGGGCTGGGCGGGGTAGACGGTAAGCGACGTGTCCATGAATTAGTTTTGTTGTTTGATTTATGCGGGGGACGTCCCACACTGCGGACACCACGTGCGGGTGCGTGTGGGTGTGTTTTCGGGTGGCGGCGAGTGTGTGATCGTGCGGCTCGCGCGTTCGTCGGTGCGGCATTTATTATGGATTGTCACTGGTCTTTGCTCGATGCCTAACTGTGGGCGCGGGTGGTGACTATCCTTGTCTTCCTTTTTTGTTTTTTTTTCCCCCGCCTGAAAGGTCTGCGCGATCACTGCTACTGCTACTGCTGCTACTGCTACTAATAATGCCGCTGCTGATGTTCAAACGGAAGCAACACGGGCAGTTTGTTCAGGCGATGTGCCAGCCACGCTGCAGCACGCCGTTTGTATCACTGGCGGTGCTTTTGCTGCTGCTGATGTGTTTCGCCGCTGGGTGCGTTGCCGACGCTCCCGCCCAGAAGCACCGCTGCGGGTTTGACGAGATGATGCGGAGGGGGCCGCCGGCGACTGCAGTGGTGCGTGATGTGCCGCGCAGAGGACAGGGCGCGATGCAGGCGTACACCGTCGCTGCACAAGGCGTGGGGAGTGAGTGGGCCCCGATCCGCATCAAAGTGTCTGCGAAGGACATGGATGATCAGTGGAAGCACTGCCTCCCAGGGAAGCATTGGCGCCTGGTCAATGGCAGCTGGAAGGAATGCACGGAGGACATTATGTTGACGGAGGCGAAGAAGAACATTGTTTTGAAGCAACTCCTTCCCGCTGCAATTAAGATGCACGCTGAGCGTCTCTCCGTGAGACCTGTGAGGGGTCCCATCCCCATACCAAAGAAAGATTTAGGGCTGTGCACCGGTTTAACTATCCCTTCCTGGCACCACACGGTCGGCGTGAGCGGCGCCGACCTGATTCTCTACGTCAACACTGCCGTGACTGATGGGACCGTTGCATGGGCGTCTCGCTGCGTCGTTCTGAAGGATGAACGCCGCCCGTACGCTGGCGTCGTGAACTTCAACCCCCGGTACATAAAGGCCACTCATGCAGACGTTGGTACTGCAGTGCATGAGATTGGGCACGCTCTTGGTTTTTCGTATGATCGCTTTAAGAAGTTCAATATGGTCTCCGAGGTCCCCAATGTGCGCGGGAAAGAAAAGGTGTGGGTGGTTTCCTCACCGAAGGTGAAGGAGCTGGCGAGGAAGTATCACAACTGCCCCACACTTGAGGGCATGGAGCTGGAGGACGGGAGTAGTCTGGGGGCAAGTCTGAGCCACTGGGAGGAACTCAGTGCACGGGACGAGTTGATGAGCCCTGGGAGCCGGATCGCTTATTACTCGGCATTCACGCTTGCTGCATTTGAGGACATGGGTGTGTACAAGGCTAACTACGACATGGCAGAGCAGTTGCGGTGGGGTAATAACTCTGGCTGCGGGCTGCTGGAAAATAAGTGCTTCACCAACGGCCACACCGACTATCCTGAGTTGTTCTGTAAACAGCCGTCGAATAAACACAGGCTGCTTTGCACGTATGATCGTCTTTCTCTGGGGACGTGTAAGCTAAAGTATCACCACGATCCCCTTCCACCGCAGTTTCAGTACTTTGATGA